TATATAATAAGCTCAAGGAGTGGCGTGTTATCAAAGTGAGCATTGTAATATGGATGATGCCATTCTTACAAACGCTACGATTTGTTATATAGCAAATGTGCGTGCTCTGTCGTTTTTTCTAACAATGAAATTACGTGCTGTTGTTTTTGTAATTTCGTAGATGCATAGACGACGTTAACGACAGTTACCTGTGTGTAGCTTATTGAAAAAAATTGTCTAGTCTCGACATGCATGTCATTGAGACCACAAGAGATTTTGGAAACTCACAAATTCGGATTATACGTATTTGCCTAAATAATATTATCCCATTACTTGAAGGGAAGGTCATTCTATTCAGGTGCAGGTGATCTTTTGACTCTAAAACACTGTGTTATACTTATAATATTTGCTTTCCAACACTCCCWTTCGGTCTTTGTATTGATTATGCATCCTTTTGTAGCCCGATTACGTTKTTTACAGACGCACGTAAAAAATGGAATTAAATCGCCTACCTATCATTAATTTGTGCACGTAATTATAAATACAATATGCCTTAATTCTTGCACTACGTCTTATTTAGTAACATTTAGCGAATCTCTCATACTGAATATCAAACACAAACATTCAAATAAAACAATCAATTCTCGAAGATTTATTGCGTGGACGAATACGGAATACGATGAATCAAATTATAGTTACTTAACAAATAGAATTCTGAGAATTGTCTACCACAACTATATAAAATACCACGTTGTAATAGCGTTACATATGGACCCCATACCGAAACGCAGATAAAATCACCGCAAGTGTCAAAAAACAATAAAAAGAATCCYTAAGCAAACACAACTTCGGCTCAACGCCAATAATCAATGATTGATACATCTGGAGTTCAATAGCAAAGATAACTTCAACAAACAGCCAAATAGTAGCCGGTTTAACAAGGCAAAAGGGACAATTTCTTAAAATATCTGAGTCTGTTGGAGAGAGAAATTTGTGTTTCTTGAACATTTTTGCTAAGTCACTTGAGTGTGGTTTTTTAACTTAAAAGTCAATTTTAGTAATCAACCTAGATAACAGGGAAACTGTTAATTTGTAAGTACGCAAAGAAATTTTGTATAAGTATCTATACACAACAGATGTTTAGCATGTGTTCATATATGTTCTTATTATGCAAACCACAAGTTTTAAATTTAATTCAGATACTGTTTGAACGTTGATGTATAAGGAGTGCAAGAAAGAGTCCCTTTGATTGCGAGCTCCCTAGAGCTGGAAAATACTACGACAGGGCCTTCATTGTTTCATTTAATATTAACTTGAGTTCCCGATAAGCACGGGCCAGCACCTTCGTACAATCATTTTCGAAACAAATTTGGAGGATCGGCCAGTCTTCTTTGCTTGCTTMRACCTTTGTGAATGAACAGTATGACGAATCAAATTACCGGTATAATTACTTTACAAATAGAATTTTAAGTGAACAATTTATGAATACAGTTTTCTTTTTCGKTTAAATCTATTATTTTTAACTTTGATTCTTGACAACTAGGGGCGAGCACCAGCACTTCAAAGACAARTCTAACCGCAATTATGTAACATTGGTACGCGTGGTCGAGTGCCTTCGATTTCTAATTCAGAGATCTGAGATTGGAGACTCAGAGGAGCTGACATTTCTATAGATTTCTTTCTTTGCCAAAAAAGAAATAAATTTAATCAAATATAGAACAGGGAACCCGGTAACAGTAAATTAATGAGTAAATTACTATAAAAGAATGAGAATAAATTAATAGGTCTGAACAAAGGTAACGCAGGCTCAAGTTTACAGGAAAGTGAGTGACTAAGTGACTGAGTGATTGAGTGAGTGACAGATCGTCCCCCCTCCAATAACTCTTCGATTGCTTCGCAATCTTCGAGTTAAAAATGAGTGATTATGTTTTGCACGGTGAAGTCGTCCACTTAGTAGGTTGCTTTGGAGAGCAACCATTCTCACAATTAACTGTTATGTTCTTTTTTGTGTACTACAAACCATTTCGTGTGGTATATTTCGCCACAAAACCACCAAAATCTTGTTTTTTATATTTATTTCTTAAGTTTATAAGATGTCCATACCATCGGAGTCTTCAGACTTTTTCCCATTTTTTATGCTTGTTCGCAATAACGACGTGATTTTTTCTTTGCTTAAATGAATATAATATCACTGGCATTAGCATGAGCCATGAATCTACTATGCGATCCCTTTCAATGACATTACTTGAGTGGTCGCAGTTTCTTTACTAGAACCTTACACCATTCCAGAACTGAAATTCATTCTCATCCAAAGAGAGATAATGCTGCTAAATACATCAGTGATGGTCAGTTGAAACTTGGCTAAATTGAAAATGCTAATGAATAAACGCGGCATCCACTAAGGAATGTTATAAAATAACTATTATATAACGCACGCGCTGATTGGTTGAAAAGCGCAAAAAACCGTGTTTC